TCATATCAAGTCTTAGTTAACTTAAATCATTAACCTTTCCTCTTATCCACCTAGTTTGACGAACAGAACAATATAGGCTACTATCACTTTCAAAAGTAATTCTTATGGTATACTCTTCTAGCATTGGGCCTTTCCATATCAACTTAAAACTTAAAGCCGGCTGATATTTACTAAATGACAGATTAAGATGTTCACCGGCCAAAATTGGATAGTCATAGTAATACCAGAAACAAAAGAACCCTGGGCCGCTTCGAGCCGCGCAGGTTTGAATGGTACGCCACACCTGAATGAATGGTACCAGCACGAACCACGTGATCTTTTCGTTTCTGTGCAGGTTGTTTTGTTCTTGGGATGTCTATTTTATCTAACGACGGTTTAGTCTAAACTAGCTCTAACGGCGAGTGGTGAAGTCCAATTTCGTCAGTTATGAGCTAATTGCAGTTAGGGCAAGGCTTAATGGTGGTTTAAGTGTTTGGTAAAATCGGGCCTAGAAGTTAACAAAAAAAAATGTCGTCTGTTGGTATTAGAAGTGTTGTTTTGTATATGATCAGCTATCATAGCTAAGTAAAAGAGTGCAAGGCAAAAAATGAAATGTTAATAGTTTATTAACACTATTATTTTATATATACTACGGGCATGTAAATTAACAAATTAAAATTGAACTAGTGGCTTGTAGGGACAAAAGTCCCTAAAAAGCTTGATAATATAAAACAAATCATTTTAATATTCAAACAAACTCAGAAATATATTATCTATGTGTCAGAACATAATATCCCCAATCCCCATACACCACTTCTTTTGTGCAAAAAACAGTTTGTTGTTTGTCTTTGTTTGCTTTTGTTGATGTTATTTTCATTAAATAATTTAAATCACTCCCATAGGCTTAACTCTGCTAAAGGCAGCAAACATATAATTGTTTGTTAATAAATACTGGTTTATTAAGGTAGCTTTGGTTTTGTGATTGGTGGTGATAAAAGAAGGCTTCAACAATTAGAATTTTGGAAATTGTTTTCGTCAAATATAAAAAGGCAAATAAAGGTGGGTAAGCTTAGTTCTTGGCCAAAACCGCTAAATTAGCATCCCTACCCAGTTAATATTTCTAATTGTATACTCCTTTTATTAAGGTTTAACAAAATTAGTGTAAAGGCATCCCATTGATCAAACTTAACCCTCGATTTTGTTTCTGAATTACATAAAAAAACTACAATTAGTGTAAAGGGCCGATTGACTTACATATTCTATCGATCAAAATATACCTAATCATCGGCTGATCCCTAACTCTTTTGCGACTGGTTAGGGTTCCATTACCCAGTTATCGAAACAAACCAATCACGAAATTACTTTTCATCAGCATTCACATGTATATTTTTGGTTTGTTTAAGACACGTAAAGAAACGGAAACTACCTCTAGGTTTTACTGTTATATGTGGATGCTTCCTTTACTATTATATACCATACATTCTAAATAACTTAACCATAATTTATTTCAACATTCTAAGACGTAACTAAATAGTCTTAATTATTAATAGGTAACGTTATCCCTAGTTTTATATAGCATACAGTACATTGCAGAATTGACTGACAAATAATTAATCCAAATGTTAATATTGCACACTGGCTTAATGATAAATCACGATCAGCTGTATTGAAGTAAATAGAGACCTGCAGTAAATGGCTTCTAATGCTATTCTTATGGAGAACATTTTACGTTATATCTCGTTTTATGGCAACTTTATGGGAATTCTGCTATTTTTCCCGAGTCCCTGGGGTCAAGACCTTTAATTTAAGACCTCTCCCACTTTTCTGCGACTTACAAGACGTCCACAATTTTCTGGTAAAAATTTTGTCTTACAGAATTATATATAAGGATATGTTGTGATAGGCCTAACTTATAACACAAGTTCTTTATCTTTTATCAACAAAAAAAAAACACATTAAGTTAATTTAGTTTATATAAACTTAACTTAACTTAGGTGAGATGTAAGTTTAGCAATTGTAACAACGGGAAAATTACGGTAATTCATGAAAAAATGTCTACACATGAAGTTTTAAATTTTTTCTTGATTAGGCCTAGTTTAAATATATTAAATCATTTTAAATTCATTTTTTATTGCAAGAACTAGCACGATACTGTCAGACGGAGCTGGAATGGCTAGAGACCACAGCTGGGTGACCTGCTATTTTTTCTTAGCGATTCTTCAAGTGCTTGTAATATTAAACTGTTTAAACCCTCCAGCAGCTAGAGATACCAGCTCATGTGAGTGTTTCTAGTCTCTTTTAAAATTTAAAAAAACGGCTAAACTACAATAATATTTAACAAAAAATATGACACCAAAGATCTAGTTTATAATGGGGGCTAAGTAACAAACGGGAAGAACTAAAATCCTTGCATTTGTGTGCGCCAGACGGGTAGAGCGCAACCTTAAGCATATAAAAATGCTTTAATTAGACACAAAGATTATTTCCTTTTTAAACTCTAAAAATGGTCAGTGTTTTTTTTTTTTTATGGTCAAAATGGGAAAAACGTTTTATAGGCCTACACCACAAAAAACCCAACAAACCCTGTTCCCATAGTCCGATCATGTTGGTTCGCGGATTTGTTTTAATAAATGTGGGTTTACGCGTTTGTACTAAATTTCATCAAAATCGGATCATTTTTGCTCCTAGAGAAAATTTCCTCCGGCTGACCTTGAGGGACAAGGAGAAGTTAACCTTAACCTTATCTTTATTTTAGGGGTAAAGAGCCCCTGCTTCGAGTGTAAGACGTTAACTAAAGTGCAGCGAATACTTTAACATAGCTGGTATGGATCATAAACAAATGACGCTGCTGGCCTGAATCCTATACTAATAACATTAAGTAACTTAAGTTAACATTATGGTTTATATGTTCCACTTAAGTTAAGCAATGTTAAATACGGTACCTACCTAATGTTTACTATCTGGCCCGATAACTTAGTAAACATTAGTTAACATTGCTTAAATGGAACGGGCCAGTAACATAATTTTTTTATTTTTATGACCGTTTCCATTCAAGTATTCGTGGGCATAGGCTATTGGTTACTGAACTGATTCAATTGCAACATTGACAACATTTCTACCTAAATGCCAAAATCCATTTAACTTATAACTTAGACCTAAATCCCAAAGTAACCATGAACTTTAAAGAAAACTACAAGTCACGCCCCCATAAACCATATAGCCTACTTAAAATGTTCGTCTTGACGAGAAACCTTGCTCAAAACTATCCATTAGGGCCTATGTCATAAATTTAAGGTCGCCCGGTCGTAATTCCTTTTAAAAATAACTTAAGCGTCTAGACAGCCAGTGCAACTGACTCCACTTTTTTTGTGTGTGTGGTTTTTTGTAGTGAGTCGGTGGCTCAGTTGGTAGCGTCGCGGACTTCGGGCCCAAGGCAGCGATGTCGTGGGTTCGGATCCTGGTCACTGCCGATAACATTTTATCAGTACAGTTCACCTTTGTACTGTACCGGCTCACTCCTTGCTTTGCTGTAAACGATCCACGCACGGGCGCTTAGTCTATGTGGACGGGCAGATGCAAGGTTAAAAGAGGCCGCCAACCTCTTTAAAAAAAAAAAAAAAAAAAACTCGGAGGATCGTGGATCAGATCGGAAAACCCCCCACCACCGCTCCGTGCCGATGGTGTGACGTCAACCATTACCGCGACGATACCGAACTGAGTCATGAGCCTTAGTGGTGTAGTGGATAGCGTGTCGGACTGATAATCAGAAGGTGCCGGGTTCAAATCCCGCTGGTAGCACTAACTTTTTGTCAAAATTTTTTTCATATCAGCAAGTTTGGTTGGTTTGGTTAGGTTATGACAGTTTAATTTTATAATTAAAAAATTGAATTTGAGACATTTAGCCTATAATTTTATTTTTAGAACAGAACTATTTTTTCGATTAGGCTAGCCTAGTATAGGCTAATCCTTCATTCGAGTTTTTCATCATCGGCAAGTTTGGTTGCGTTATGACAGTTTAATTAAATTTAATTTAAATTTAACCTAGCCTACAAATGATACGTGTTGACCGCGACAGTGAGAGATAAGTTAACAATTTTTCGCGAACAGTTAACTTAGGCTAGCTGATGCGCCGGTATGATTCGGAAGCGTACGACATGGTGCGGTTGTGGGGGGTGTACTGATCCACGATCCTCGGAGTTGCAATGGCTGCCTAGGCGCTTGTCTTTCTAAAGGGAACTTTCCATACCTAGGCTTAGGTAGGCCTACCTAATGTTAAAAATAGGCCTAGGCCTACTTACCTCAGCTGTACTTATTTGTATATTATTCTTACAATTTATTAACTTATTAAAATCAGGTGTGACTATTTGTTTGTATTACTGTATTCTGTTTTGTTTATTTCAGCCTTAACCAATCAATAGTTTTAGTAATACTTAAGTGTATGTATGTAGTCAGACGGGGTGAAGCCCATGGCTAACAGCTAGTAGGTACACTTTAAGTAACATTAAGGGTAAATTGCAAAAAAGTTAAACTTAACACGTTCGCTGCTGAGCGCTAGATGCCGGGACGGCGCCAGTTGCTGAACTAACGCTCGGCCGCTGCGTGACATTGCCACCGATACACTGAATTACAATAAAAACAACAGTAGTTATACTGGATGGCAATGTTCTGCAATAAAACTGGCTTTGGATATATTACTAAGTGATTCTGATAGATAGCAGCACTACCCAGGTTACAGTCGTTAAAGTAGTGTCGCTATCTAGCAGGAAAGAGGTAAAACAAAGCCCTGTTCCAAACGACCCTGGTGGTGATTTGGGAAACTATATTTTTTATTGTCAGAAAAGTACGTCCCCACGAGCTGCAAAGAAATATAGAACGCTTGTGACGTGCTGGCTTATCCATAGCAACGTTAAACAACAATGAACGGTGACGTTCTGGAACGTTCTTAGCTCCTGGCGCCGTGACCCGGCTGACGTTCCGGAACGTCCGTAGCAGCGAACGTGTTAAGCCTTGACCATACTTACGTTTTTATAAATAATTCACCAGTTTTCCATTTTAACATTTCTGGCATAACTAACTTTACACCAATGAGATGAGAGAGAATTACCAAAACTAAACCACAAACTTATCCTATTTCCGCTTTTGTTTGATCAGATCTGATCTATCTGACCAAGACGAAGACCACAAACACGAATTACAGCGAGCGTTTCAGGGCAGGAATTGGACTAGCCTACTGCGCATGCGCCAGAAAGAACCAATTCAGTTGTATTTGGTCTTCAACGAGTCGACTCATGAGTCATAACTTACTAGTTCAGTTCAGTTTCAGTTCTGCTGTTAGCTACCTCCATGACGATTGACGTCTTGTCGACTTGAGTTGAGTCAGTCATCTCTGTCACCCCCATCCGTTGCAGTTTAAGTATTCGGTACTTTAATACTGACGGTGGAAATGGACTTAAAATTGGGCTTTCCCATTTTTTACCCTAAAAACATCGTTTTTAGTATTTTTCAAGTTATTTTGTGGGACTTGACAAAATTAATAATTTAAACTTAATATGTTCAGAATATACCATGAATATTCCAGAGTACCGTACTTTTCCAGAATATTCTGAGAATGTTCTCCAGATTTCTATATAAAAGTTTTCTTAGAATATTTTTGTTGAGTGATCTGAGTATATTCAAGGAAATTGCCTGGGATGTTGAGAATGATCTCAAACATTTTGGAAAATTCCAGGAAATCCTATTATTTTTCATGTTGTATTTAAATTTTATACGGTATATACAAGTGAGTTAACAAATTTTTAGATTTTCTCAAATTTGATGTTGGCAGATGTTGATTGCAGTCCATGCCCTGGAATTTGAGTGAAGCAGAATCGTTGCAATTAAGTATAAAATAAATTGAAGTACCATCCAGAGAAAATATAGGAAATAAGGTCAACACTTGATATTTGGTATCAAATTAAACTTAGACAAATTAGAGTTTTAGGAATTTTTTACATACTTCAACCTCCTTTGTTTGAATAATCTTTATGTTAGTCTGGAATTTTCAGACTTTATTTTAGTTCCTTTATACATTTAAACAGACCAATGCATCTGCAACTACGCATGCAACTTAACGATTGCAATACAAAAACACCAATAAATAATAACAATCTTACTAATATTATAAATGTGAAAGTTTGTGTGTTTGTTTGTTTTTATTTGTGTGTGTGTTTGAAGTTCAATCACGCATTAACTACTGGACGGATTGGGCTGAAATTTGGCATGATGATAGCTCACATTCCTGATTAACATATAGGCATATTCTAATCTCAAAAATCCTTTCGGGCTCCGCCCCAGTGGCTCTGTAGTTCCCCATGTTAACCTTATGAGTTTTCATATTTAAAGGGAATTAAAGTATTTTATCACCTGTTTCAACTAAAAAAGTTGGTACTATGATATGCAAAAGTATTAAAAAGTTATAAGATTTACCAACAGAGTGCACGAGTGCAGCACTATTATTTTTTCTTTGCATTTATGAAAACAGCTAATTTGAACTAAGCAGCAACAAAAAGCTGTGATACGCAATGAGAACTGTCAAAGTAGGATTGTTTACAGTTGTTTATATTTTTATTTTCATGAACAGTTTGTGATATTTTGCAAATTTTTAATAAATGATTTTTCTTTATTGTTTAGGTGAAGTGGTAGAACATTGTGGCTATGGTAGATGTGTAATACTATAGTATGCCGTTCATTTAAAGAAGCAAATTTCATCAAACCGTGTCTGCCCCATTGAAAATGCAAAGCTTGAGTAAAATGAGCAGCCTGCAATAAGCACTTTATACTTATATATGCCAACCCCTTACGAAGGACGGGTACTCTGCTAGTAGTATATAGAAAGCTGTTGTGTTTACTATTTTATATTTTTGAAAGTGCAAGTGATTACACACATTGGGATTATGCAAACATTGACTACATCAGAACTTATGTTTAGAAACAAAGTAAAAAAATAATTAAAAGAAGTATAAAAAAATTATTACAGCTGGAAATAGCGGCATTGTAAATTAATGATCATTCAATTTTTATAGTTTATGTAGAACATTTATTTTAAAACATATAAAGTAAATCATAAAAAGTGGTAATTTATCACAACAGTCCGTACTATCACACCTCACACTAATAGCAAAACATTTTTAAGTCTTCAATCAGTTCACCAGCACCTCAATCAATGAATCAATGACTCTGTAACAAAAAACTGTGTTTTAGCTTTAATTTACTAAGCTTGGGCAACACATTCAATGTGAAGCCTAGAGCGTAGTTCACACTAGTAAACATATTGTATGTGGTAATGGGGTTATTGCATGAAGTTTTGGCTGTTATTTTTTTATTCGTGTCACTATAACATAGTAAAATATACAGTACAATAGACTTCCTCTCTTATCCAGACTCTCAGGACTGAGGCCAGTTCGGATAATGGGTTTTCTGGTTAAACTGACGTCCCCAAAACTCATAAAAACTGACCGTTTAAATGCATACTGTGTATACAGTATTTTACTAAAATGTAATACAGCATTGTATTTAGACTAGTAATCACTCTTCTCATATCTTTAACACAAGAACAGTTGTTTCAGCAATGCTTACCTCCCACTTCCTGCCGACCTAGTCCGGTTAAACCAATGTGCTGATAAAAATTGCCCAGTTAAAGAGATGTAATTTCCACCGAGTGTTGTCTGGTTTAACCGATGTCCGGTTAAAAGGTGTCCGAATAAGAGGGAGTCTACTGTACCTTATCATGGCTATTAAACATGGTAGTAATGTTCCCTAATATGCAGCAAGGAAAATCAATTTTACTTAGCCTAAATACAAAGCGAAGAAGACTGATTCTGAAATTTACATTGCACTGCAACAGCAATGTTATGGGGTAAAGTTCTGCAGAGAAACTTTAATGTATTATACTATCCTATCAAATTTTCAGTTTCTATAAATTAATAAGCCTACTGACAATAGCTTCAAATTTATATAAAATATATTGAAAGAAATAGGCCTGCTTATTAATGTTAGCCTATGGGTCTTTTTAAAAAGAGGACCACCCGCTAATCTTTTACAGACCATTGCGGCGTTTAGATTATGTTAGCTTATAGGCCTACCGCATAGAAAATAAACGGTATCAGCATTCTGACACATACTTTCTCCCATAAGTATGTCAACAACCTTTATCATGTGTAAGCGGTGAGAGTAAATATACGGAATTGGGATTTGTACAGTTATGTTTAGAATTTAAAGGACTGTAACATATTAATTTTTTATCAAAATCGTTCCATTTTTTAGAAAATCCATTTTTTCCGTTATTTTATGGGGCTTTTATGGGAAAATAACATAATTTTCAATAACTTTTGAACCGTAATTTTTACAGAAATGGGATTTTTACCATTTTGTTCAGAATATAAAGGACTATAACATACTAAATTTTTATTAAAATCGTTCAGGCCATTTTTGGGAAAATCTGATTTTTCCGTTATTTTATGGGGTTTTATGGGAAAATCCCCATTTAAAATCTAAATTTCTAAAAGATGAAAAAACTATCAAAATTGTAAGGACCATAACATACTATGTAAAAACAAAACCGGATTTTTTTTATTTTGTAATGGTCAAATTTTATTAGGGGGGTTAGTTTTAATTATTTTAAGGCCGCGAAGGTTTGAGCGCGCTCGACAACAATGTCAAACATGTCCACGGCAAGTCAACTCTCCTAGTTCGTGACTCGGCCGCTGCGACCTCGGGGCGCTGACGTAGGTACGTGGTGGGGAGAAGCCGAGACCAGCAGACAGTGGACATTTCTTGAGACAGTCTATGGCGAGCGCTTGTTCGCCAAACACTATCTCTCAAGACCGTACAGCGGACCTGCGAGCATAGGTTGTAGATTCGACTCGCAACGTGCGAGACAAAATAAAGGCGATAATATTAAGCGAAATAAGTATTGACAGACGTAAGTGCTGCATTGTATCCTTACATTATTAGTATTATTTTCCCGGTTTACTTTGGGGAGTAGAAGTTAATATTCTTTACGATCACCTTAGTTATAAGAGATTAGCATTGATTAGCGTATTGTATTTCCCAGGCTGGCACTGCGAGTGCAGTGCCACAGTAGCCTACACTTTTTAGTTTATTTCTCTAAAGTGGCTTTATTTTATTTTATCCAAAAGTATTTCATTTCGTTATTTTGTTATTGCGTGGGACGACATTTTATTTCACTACGAGAGTATTATTTTTAGTTTTTATTTGAGAAGCGATACCTTTTGTTAGGCCTAGAAGCTGGTCACATATTTTAGTTCACATAGAAGTATCGTATTTAGTGCCGATATATTCCTAGTCTGTGCGTTGTTGTGCTGACATACAACCATAGTATAGTGTGCGTGTAGGACGACGAAGGTACCATCTACGAAGATCGAGAAGCGGTTAGCGAGCAACGGGGCTGTCAGCTAGAACCCTGGACTACTCGAGCTGTCCGAGCAAATCGGAGGTAAGTTTAGGATAGGTTGAACCTACCCGAAATAAACACCTCACAATTTTATGGTAAAATAACATAATTTACAATAACTTTTGAACCGTAATTTTACAGATATGGGATTTGTACCATTTTGTTCAGAATTTAAAGGGCTACAACAAACTAAATTTTAATCAAAATTGTTCCGGCCATTTTTGAGAAAATTACATTTTCCGGTTTTTATGAAAAAATCTCCATTCAAAATCAAAATTTCAAAATTCCCCCGCCGCAGCAAACCTGCAGACTAAGCGAATTTCCATTTGACTGATTGGATTTACACTGAATTTTATACTTAAAAATATTACATTTATTCCCCATTTAAATAGAATTAGTTTAACAAGTACTTAGGTTTGCTGCATCAGGGAGGGTAAAACTGTTTTTTTTTATTTTGTAAAATGATAATAGTTAGTAAGAAATAAAAACATTTTCCAAATTTGATCAAAATATGGTCATAAACAAGCAAAATACAACAGTTTACTAATTCTCCATAAGAATAACATGGGAATTTTAAATTTACAATTTTTTGGAATTTTCTCCGTAACCATTAGGCGCATAATAACGCTTCAATATACTAAATTATTTCTTTTTTTAAGCTCTACAAAATGGTTGAGAAAGAAATT